TACCCAACAGTCCTATCCTTGTCTTTCATTCTAAAAGCATCCCCCAAGTCAGATTCTAGACTTCCTCCCAACTGCTTCCCGAAATTACCCACATTCTGGTTCGAGACCAGACCCTGAATTCCAAGGCCACACCTTCCTCAGATTCTAGCTCTACTTGCACCCCTGAACACTAGTTCAAGATCTTACTCAGCTTCTGGTTCTGGCCTGCCCCAGAATCTTCAGGAAGGAGTGGAGCTCTGCCCTGAGCGGGAAGGCAAACACTCCCTGCCTCATCCCAGAAGGCCTCCAAAGCCCCCAGCGTGGGTCTAGCAGCCGTACCAGTGGCACCCGCCCATCCGGCCTGGCACACCGCTGTATCTCTGCCTCGGTGCCCTGGTAGTAAATGTCCAAAACGAAGCCCTGCGTGGGGTGGGGAAGAGAACAGAGTTAGGGTAAACAGCAAGGGAGGACCAGCTGGGTGGGGACTGCAAAGTGTTCTCCCAATGAAAACCAGGTCCCAGCATGCTGGGGGGGGGGGGGGGGGGCGAGCGCCGACACTCCCACCCCCGGACGGTAGAGGGCAGGCTCTGAAAGTCTTCACCGCCTGAGCCCGAGCACAGCACCCAGCAGAAGCCAACTAAGCGAGCACAGGGGCTGTTTGCAGGGGAACTGCTCCCAATCCACACCACGTCAGAAAGCCCAGGATGAGCGGCTTCCCTGAACACAGGGCCAGGAGGCCAACCCAGATGGTTCAGTGGCCCACACCACTGTCGCAGGGGCACTACCTGGGCATCAGTGAGGAAAACACCATGGTTCCGGGCATAGGCCGTGCTCCCCGGAAGGGCAATCACTCTGGCTCCCCGGAAGTTGTCCCAGCTGATCCCTGTGAGTGAGGCAGTCAGGCAGGTCCCTGGGGCCCCCCAACCCAAGACACAGGGCCCCAGCCAAGAGGAGGCAAGAGCTCTGGGCAGGGGCATCCAGACACCTCTATAGGGAACATGGTCTCCGAAGACAATGGACATTCCTCTGGGAGAATGGTAACACCTGCCCTCCCAAAATTCTTCCACAGAGCCTTGCAGGGCCGAAGGGGCAGGGTGGGATGTCTCCATTCTCTAACCAGAGGGGGAAGGGAAGCCCAGAGACCACGTGAAGAAAGGTGGCTGGCTGTGGCTAGGGTAGACAGTCCCAAGCCTTCTCAGGCTCACCTGGGTTCAGAGGAACGGACAGCAGCATGTCGGTGCTGCAAATCCACACACCTGGCGGGGAGCCCGGGCCCAGCTGTGGAGGAGAGAGAGCATGGAGCCGGTGGCGTGGCCCAGCTCTCTGCTCCCACACAACCCAGTGGTGGCCTGTCCAGGGGGACTCTGGCTGCTGGGGCCTCCCCCGACCAGTGGTGCCGAGGCCGGTCCTTCCCTCTACTCTGAGGGGGACACCACCTCTCCACCGGCATGGCCCAGACTAACTTCCTGAAGCTCTAGGTCTGGGCACCCCCAGAGCCGTTCCTCCTGGCATCTCCTGTCTGCACCAGCACAGATGACATAGCTGGGGGTGCTGTGGGAGAGCCGTGGCTCTCTCTGGGGTGAGGCCCCATGATCACCACCAGCCTCACCCGATGGCTCATGATGTCCAGCAAGCAGTCCAGGTTGCAGACCACGGCCTCCACCGGAGCCTCGGGGTTCTCCACAGGGAGGCAGGTGAAGGCCCGGCCACAGTCCTCAAAAGGGAAATCTCGGCCCTAGGGAGGGAGCAGCCACAAGAGAAAGAACCCTCAGGGCAGAGAGCCTGGGGACACCCTATCAGCTGTGCCAGGCAGGAAGCCATTAAGCTAGAAGACTTTTTACAATGTACATTTTCTCAGGCCCCTGGCTGGCTTAGTCTGTGGAGCATGCAACTCTTGATCTCAGGATCGTGAGTTCAAGCCCCACAATGGGTGTAGAGATTACTTAAAATCTTAATGTGAAATGCGTTTTCTCAGTTTTGTTTTTTTTCTTTTTTTTTTTTTTATTTGAGAGAGAGAAAGCACAAGGAGAGGCAGAGGGAGAAGAAGAAGCAGACTCCCCTCTGAGCAGAGAGCCTGAAGTGGGGGCTCAATCCCAGGACCCTGGGATCCATGACCTGAGCAGAAGGCAGATGCTTAACTGACTGAGCCACCCACGGCCTCATCAGAGACCTTTCTTTCTTCTTCTTTTTTTTTTTCAGAACTTTTTTTTAAGAAAGATTTTATTTATTTATTTGACAGACAGAGATCACAAGTAAGCAGAGAGGCAGGCGGGGGAACGGGCTCCCCACTGAGCAGAGAGCCCAATGTGGGGCTCCATCCCAGGACCCCAAGATCATGACCTGAGCCAAAGGCAGAGGCTTAACCCACTGAGCCACCCAGACACCCCCAGAGTCTTTTCTTATAACGTTTTCAATTACATGATTATGGTGAAAAATTAGAAAGTGCAGATCTGCAAAAATAAGACAATTCCTCAGGGTAATAGCCATTGCCCTCATTTTGAGTTGTATCCTTTCAGATTTTTCATTTTTTAATGAGATAATGAGCAGGTGGAGACAACAGAACTTAACACACACACACACTACTACAAGTAAAACCAGGGGGAAAGACTGGGAATTATATCAATGTCAATATCCTAGCTGTGATTACATTACAGATCTCGAAAATATTACCACTGGAAAAATCTGGGCAAAGTTGGCAGAGGCTTCTTTTTGTATTATTTATTTTTTATTTTTATTTATTTATTTGACAGATACAGAGATCACAAGTAGACAGAGAGGCAGGCAGAGAGAAGGGAGAGGCAGGCCACCTACCGAGCAGAGAGCCTGATGTGGGGCTCGATCCCAGGACCCTGAGATCATGACCTGAGCTGAAGGCAGAGGCTTAACCCACTGAGCCACCCAGGCGCCCCTCTTTGTATTATTTCTTGCACGTGGATCTGTATTCATCTTAATCAAAATTCCAATTAAAAGGGCACTTGAGGGGCACCTGGGTGGCTCATGGGTTAAAGCCTCTGCCTTCAGCTCGGGTCGTGATCCCAGAGCCCTAGGATCGAGCCCCGCATCGGGCTCTCTGCTCGGCCGGGAGCCTGCTTCCACTTCTCTATCTGCCTGCCTCTCTGCCTACTTGTGATCTCTGCCTGTCAAATAAATAAAATAAAATCTTTAAAAAAAATAATAAAAGGGCACTTGACTGGCTCAGTTGGTAGAGCGTGCAACTCTGGATCTCGGGGTTGTAAGTCAGAGCACCCTGTCGGGTGAAGAGATTACTTTTTTAAAAATCTAAACAAGGGGCGCCTGAATAGCTCAGTTGGTTAAATGACTGACTCTTGATTTTGGCTCAGGTCATGATCTCAGGGTCCTGGGATCAAGCCCTGCATAGGGCTCCCTGCTCTGCGGGGAGCCTGCTTCTCCCTCTCTGTCTGCCACTTCCCCGGCTTGTGCTCTCTCTGTCAAATAAATAAATAAAATCTTAAAAAAAAAAAAAAAGCTGAAGTCATTTTATATAAAGTTACATGGCTGGCTCTTCCCAGTAAACAATGAAAACACAGTCCCTGAAGGCTCAGAGCGAGCCAGGCCAGGTCCTGTTTTAGCATCTGCATGGATCATCTCAGCACTTCCACGTCAAGTGACTCGTCCAAGGTCACAGACCGGTTCAGTCTCTGTCCAGGCCAGCGCGTAGAGTTGGCTGGACTTCTAAACCATAATGAGTCACAACAACACAAGCGCCGCTTATGTTGAGCTTGTTCCCTATTTCTGGACACTTGGACCAATTCTGACTCTGATTCTTCTGGATTTGCCCAATGAGCACCTTGCACAAACACAAAGATAAAACAACTGTCTAACCCAGGGACTGATGGCTCCAGCCTTCAGCACGGCCCCTGCAGAAACACGCAGCCCCCTACTAACCATGTGCAGGATGAGGATCCGGGCCGACTGCAGGACATCAGATGTGACCACCTGTCAAAAGTGCAAGATCCCCATTGACAGAAGCCTCGGCGGACGGTACCCAAGGAGGCTGTCCTCTTGTCCAGGGAAAGACCCCAACACAAATTCACTCAGGTACCAAAGGAAGAAAAGACAAGGTCAGGACCAATGGCCATAGGCAGGCAAGGGGTAGCCCTGGCCCCTTCTGGATGAGGGAGCCTAGAGGCCTTCCACCTGGGCCACCCCTCTGCCCCTATTTTTTAGGGGAATCTATAGGCAAGAATGTGGGGTTAGCGGGGTTACTCACGGTAAGTCAGGGAGCCATGAGGGCAAGGTGGCTGAGTGAAGGGGCTGTGGCAGGGGTGGGGGGCGGGGACATGGCCCCAGTGGGAACACTGACCCCCGTGCCCTGCGCAAAGAGGGCAGCTCTATCCCAGTTCTGGCAAACAGTTGTCACAGGGGAAAGAGAGGCCAGGAGAGCAAGATGGAAGTTTTCAAGAGAAGCTGGAAAGGCTAATTCTGAGATCCTGGCTCCAATGTTCTAGAACTACTAGAAGGTCTGGCCCTGCCTTCCCCCTTGCCCCCCACTTGGTAAGTATGCCCAATCTACAGGTATGAAAATGGGTACCAGATGCTGAACTGGCCAGGTGATGGAGCCCAGAGAGCTGGTGACCTTGGAGACCATCTGTCGTGAGCCCCATCCCTGGTCCGGCCAGTGTGCGTGCCGGAGGAGGGCACACCGTGAGCACTCACCGTGAAGCCTGCCCGGGCACTCAGGTGTTCGGCAGCCACCAGCAGGGCATTGAGGGTGGCCCCTCCGCTCCCCACACGCGTTTCAGGGTCCTCCACGGCCAGTAACAGCGTCCCAGGCGGGATCTGCTCCCGCTTCTGGCGCACCTCCAGCTCTGGGGTCAGAACACAAGCTGGGACCAGCTGCCAGCCTCCCCACCCTGGTCCAGAGCAGCAAAAGCCAATCTCCTGAGAGTCACTATTTTCTCTTCGTTAACTCAGGAGAGCTTATTTTTCACTGAGGTATAATGGACATATAACATTCTGTGCATCTCGTCTGTACAACGTCATGATTCAGTATTTGAAAAAGAAAAATGGAATGTGGCACAAATTTGCATGCCAGCTCTGCAGAGAAGCCATTGCTAACCTTCTCTGTGTGGTTCCAGTTTCAACATACGTGCTCTCAAAGCAAACACTTAGTAGCTTTTCATGGAGCCACTCGTTAGATCTTCACCCAACTCTATGAGTAAGTACAACCAGTCCCATTTAATGGACACAAAAAACTGAGTCTCAATGAAAATGACATGATGGGTCTTGAGGTCACATGGCTAGAAAGCAGCAGAATCTGGGCTTTAACCCAGGTCCTCCCAGCTCGTGGGGCTGTGAGGGTGTGATGAGGAATCTACATCAGAGGCAAAGTGGGAGGGAGGGTCCCCTACCTGTCTGGAAGACATGGACACTCTCCTGGTACTGGCATGTCAGGATGATGACCGTCCAATCGACCCCCTTGGGCTGCTCCATTCTGGCCAAAGTTCAGGGCTCCCTGAGACAGAGATGAAGGTGTGTGTGAACCTTTGAAAAAAAAAATTATCTTACCCTAAAACTGATTCCTGCTGGTACACAGTTCTATTAATTTTAACACACGTATGGGGCCGCCTGGGTGGCTCGGTCAGTTAAGTGTTGGACTCTTGATTTCGGCTCGGGTCACAATCTCAGGGTTGTGAGGTCAAGCCCCTGCTTAAGATTTTCTCTCTCCTTTTCTCTCTGCTCTTCTTACCCCCTCTCTAAAAAAAGCTCAAAAGACCAAAAAAATCCTGCATGCCATCCCTTTGGGCACACCCCTCTCCATCCTTCACCCCTGACAACCACACTTTTCTCTGTAGCTATGGTTCAGCTATAATCTTTTGAGGTTGGCTTCTTTCACTCAACATAATGCCTTTGAGACTCATCCAAGTTGACTGCGCATACCAGTAGTTCTATTTGCCAAGCAGTATCCCACTGCACAGACTGGCATCCGTGGTCTCCATCCACCCATAGAAAGACACCTGGGCTGTTTCCAGGTTTGGAGAATCATGGACAAGAGCTGCTACAAACATTCGTGTGTGGGCTGAGTGTGAACGTAAGACCTCATCTCTGCCAGTGTACACCCAGGTATGGGATGGCTGGGTTATGTGTGAGTGTATCTGACTTTCTCAATCTGGTTGCGTGTGATTTCCTCAGGAGAGGGAGTGAGGGGAGCAAGGTGGGGTTGAGAGTGAGTCCCCATCTGAAAGCAAAGGGCTTTATTCAGTCTCACTCATCATTCAGGTATTGGCTGTGAGCTAGGGGGAGGGGAGGGGAGGGGAGGAAGGTTCTAACCTCCCAGGCTCCTGAAGCCAAGGGCAATTCCCTGGAGAAGGGAGTAGCTGTGGGAGGGATGCACCAACCTGTTCAAAAGGATAAGGCAGGGTGCCAACAGCGCCCACTACAGGGACCTTAGAGGGGACCTTCCCTTCCAGGAGCTCCAAGCCAAGGCTACAAGGTGCTTGGCAGCCATCTTCCTCTAGGGCACTCTGAGCAAGTGAGGGGTAAGTGGGCCAAAGCTATGGCTCTGCCCTCTCCTACCCACCTCAACATTCCTCTCCTACCAAATGGGAAGTGAATCGGACTCTTGAGTCCCCAAGACCACGTGTAAACAGTTCTCAAAAGTCCCCTGGCATCCACCTCTGGCAGGGCTCTGAGTGCTGTCCCACAAAGCAGCAGCCCCCCACCTCTTCCCTCTGACTTCCAAAGCTGAGCATGGTGAGGGATGATGGGGGGCCCAGAGTGTGTGTCCAGGAGTCAGCCTACTTTCCCACTAAGAGCCAACAGCAACAGCATCTCGCATACCAGACTCTGCAGCCATCAAGCCTATGGTTAGGGCTGACAGACACCACCACTTGGCAACACCCACAGTCCCACCAGCTTTCAGAGAGAGCCTCCACCACTAAGAGAAATTGCTCTGTTCCCTGCTAAGCCCAGGAGGGAAATCCAGAGGGGAAGTCCGAGCTAGAGATCTTGGCCAGCCACCTGAGGAAAAAGGCATTCCCCAGGATGTCCATCTGGCCTTTCCAATAAAGGAGCCTCGTGGGACTCCAGCTTGGCCACAAACTTACCGTGTGATCTCCGGCACCCTAACACCCTCAGGCCTCCTGCAGCAGAGAGTATAACTGACAAGTGCCCCCAGCTTTTTCACATGGAAGCAATACTTCCACCAACTCTTCCCAACCCATCAATGACTCCGTGAAGCAAGGACATGAACACAGACCAACTCCTGCAAGATGGGGATCCTCTGAAAGGCGACCTGGGCTCCTGGAGTTCCCATCAACCCAACAGAACTGTCTCAGAACTGCAAGCGTGTCAAATATCCTTCCTATCCTCCTTCCTTCCTCCTTCCTTCCTTCCCTTCTGGTACTCCTTCACAGGCAGCAGCCTGACAGCTCTCCATGTCTCCTCTAGCTCCCTCCCCTTCTTACCCACTCCCCAATAAATCTCTTGCAAGTCTAGTCACATCTTTGTTTCTGCTTCTCCAAGGACCAAAATGGGGAGTATAATATCATCCCTCTCTTGGCACCTTCAAAGGAAAAAAAAAAAAATCACTCTAAGAACCTCTAACTTAAAAAAACAAAAAAAAAAAAGAACCTCTAATTTCCTGTCAGGGAAGTACTATCTTCATCCTCAAAGATAAGAAACAGAGGCACAGAGAGATTAAGTAACTTGCCCAAGGCTGCACAGCGAGCAAGTAGCACAGCCAAAATGAACCAAACGCTTTTCTCCAGAGTCTATTCTTTTAACCACTACACTGAACCTTTGTGGGAACAAGGAAAGAATGAGAGGTGTAAGTACATGGAAAGTGCTCAGAGTGTATTAGCCATTGTGACAAAGTCTAAACAAATACAAGGTGATAATGAAATGAGGTCAATGTTAATGATAACAGCTGCTGGGACTGAGTTCACTGGCCCGCAGTTAAGACATTTTGGTTTTTTATCCTCACAACACCTCTGCAGGATAAGTATTATTATCTCCACTTTAAAGAAGCTAATGGATGCTGCAGCCATCACTGGGACCTGGGTCACTCTAATTCTAATTCAGGTGACAGTGATAATGACATTAGGTCCCAAGCAAAGGTGCTGAAAGGGAGCAAGGAAGAAATGTCCCAAGGAGGGTCCAATGACCCAGAAAATCTGAGCCTAGCCGTGGTCTCAGCATAATGACTGGGAGACATGGCCAGGTGACAGATCATGGCCAGAGGGGAGGAGGGAAGGCCTATCTGGACTGCACCCCACTAGAGCCTTAGGTCAGAAGAGCAGTCCCAAGCTGAAAGTCAGTCCTGGGATGGGAGCTCTGTTTCCATCACTCCCTGACTCCTCCTGTGTGATTTTGAACAGGTTAGCTCATCTCTGCAAGCCAAAGATACCAACCTCCTAGGACTATTGCCAGTATTAAATAAAATGGAAACAATGTGGCATGGGGGTAGAGGAGGTGCTCAATGAGTGGTAGTTCTCGCCAGCAGGGAAAGGGAACAGGAGAGTTTAACTTGACCCTGAAGCCAGTGGGAGTGAACACTAGCTCTGAAATATTCTCCAGGTCAAAGATGTCCCAAAGATTAAAAAATCAGGGAAGGTCGAGGGATATCAAGCTAGGTGAAGCAGCACGCTTTACCAGATCAGCCCAAAGGGTATTTTATGGTAACACAAAAGGTAGAATGATGCTAGTGGCTAAAGTTCAGGGAGTGCTTTTTTTTGCAACACCACCGGCATTGCATAATCAGCTCACATGACTCACTCAATAGACCTATGAATTGGATCTTATCACACACATGATAAAGATAAGGAAACTAGCTGAAAGAAATGAAAGAGTTTGCTCAGTCATACACAGTGGTACAGGCAGGCCAGATGTGTGCAACGCCAAGGTTCATGTTCTTCAGCACCCTGTAGGAGTAAGACACCTCTCCTGCAGTGTATCCCGTCATACCTGACATTTACAGAAAAGTTAGAAAAGAATAGAGTTCTATTCCAATCTTCTGCCCACTTTCAATAATATTTCATCTACTGAGGCCAAGTTTAATGTCCTCAGCCAATTTTCCCCGTCCCAAAATTGGATAGGGAAGGGGAGCCAGGGACAGAACAAAATAATTAAACCTCTTCATATACGCTTTTTGGAAGAGTGGTGGGGCAGGGATTTTGCATTTCTGAGCTTGAAAGGTAAAAACAAAACAAAACAAAAACAGGCTCATGAAGGGATCTGTCGTGCCTTCTGGAAAATAAAACGGCAAACTGAAGCTGACTGGGAGTAAAATCACTTTGTAAATTATACAAACGTCCTGTAATCGAGATTTGTGCATAATGATGAGCCCAGATGAGGTAAACTAAGGCAGGAAACACGGCCTTAAAGCAGTCAGCAGCTCTGGCATCCAGCGCCCCACCTGCCTCAGGGGTGAAGGGCCTCTGGGGTCCGTATCCTTCCCTGTCCCAGGCGTCCCCAAGTGCCCGGCACTGGCCAGGTCCCAGGGGTACCACTGAAAAAACCCAGACCAACCGGTAGCAGACGTCCCCTGCAGCCAGGGGACGCCCAGGGGCGCTGGCAGAGTTCTCGGACACTTCCCTATCCGGAACCTGGAGGCTACTGGCCAAGCTCGATCCTGCCGGTCCGAGAGCGTGGGCCGAAAAACAGTGGCGGGGGACCCGGGCGCGCGAAGCGGGGACCCGCAAGCACCGACATACCTGCCTCTGCGGGGCGTTCGGCGCCGCGGGCTCTTTAACACGGGTCGCTTGCCCCCCCACCCCCACCCACCCTCCTCGCGGTGCACCCTAGGAAATGTAGTTTCGCCCCTCCGCTTGTCCTGGCTTGTCCTCCCCAAAAAACTGACTCGGAGCTCTGTATTGCACGGGTACACAGATTTGGCGAGGGCAGCATTTGCCTAAAGGATGTGTGAGTTCAGATCAAGAGAGGAGGTGAGATGAGAAGGGGGCTCCATAGCCCAGCAAAACTACAACTCCCAGAGGAACGAACGCTTCTTAAAGACACAGGCTCGTTTTTCTGGGACTCGAGGTTCCTCGTTTGGGGTCTGTTTAGATCCCTAGCCAGGGCCTAGGGCAGCTGCTTTTCTCAGAAGAAAATAAAATCCCTTGAGGGGGAAAAAAGGTAGTAACAGCTGTTGCCCGAGTGTAATTGGCTACTGTTGGACTGGCAGTTGGCTAGTGCTTTCGTGGATTTGATGACAGGGGTCCTTCCAGAAGAAACTTTGCAACTCTGCAGTAGGAAGAGAATCTGCGGAGTTTTTGGAAAAGTTGTGAATGGCAGCATTGTTTGTGATAGAGAAAAATTGTTTTTTATCTATTCTCTAGGGTACATCCATGCCATGGAATACTATGCACAATGAGAAAGAAGTAAGTAGAACTGTGTGTACAATAGGGAATAGTGTTCAAGGTAGGGAGAACAAATGTAGAACCGTATGTACAGGAAGACACTAGGGTCAAAAATAATGTATATGGGGTGCCTGGGTGGCTCAGTGGGTTAAAGCCTCTGCCTTCGGCTCAAGTCATGATCCCAGGGTCCTGGGATCGAGTTCCGCATTGGGCTCTCTGCTCAGCAGGGAGCCTGCTTCCCTTCCTCTCCCTCTGCCTGTCTCTCTGCCTACTTGTGATCTCTGTCCTTCAAATAAATAAATAAAATCTTTAAAAAAAATAATGTATATGGACACATAGTATTCATAACAGGATGGAGACTGCTGGGGATCGAGATAGGCAAGGAGAACTTGAGTTTCTTAGCTACTGTTTGAATTTTTCTTTGAAGAATGTACTTTCCAAATCTTCTGTCCTCAGTAGGGAGCCTGAGAGGCCTTGGCATTGATCTCAAAGGAGATGAGGGACCCTGCTCCAACTCTATGTAACCTTAGCCAGTCACTTGGCTACTCTGTGTCTCCCTGTCACCATCTGTAAAACAGGTTAATAACAGTATCAAATGCCTGACATTGTTGTGGGGATAAGATAACTTCCTGACTCCATAGTAGGTGCTCAAAAAGAGTCCTATTAATCATTAATAGGATTTTTTTTATTGTTCTTCTCATGTTGCCTCATTAAATCAGGGTCTTTGGTTTGTCTGTGATTGTATCCTCAGTCCCCAAAACAGTGCCTAGAACATTGTAGGCGCTTAAAAATAATTTGTCAAACGAATGAATAAACAATTCGCTAGTCAGCCCCCACTATCCCACCTCCTCCCCCAAATCTCTCTCCTTCCCTTCGTCTTCTCCCCCTGGGGTTGTTCCCCCTCTTCACTTGGCCCAGGTCTGACCCCCCACTTCAGTGCCTGCTCTTTGTCTTCTGCGAACCCAGGAAGCCTCTAGGGAAGTGATGAGCTTTCTCCCACTGCTGCTGTTCTCAGCAATGCAGACCCCCGCTCTGCAGCGGAGTGGAAGGCAGGGATGCCTCTAACTGCAGCTCTGGCAGGGGTTCCCGGAGATCCGTGTGCGCCAAGGAGCTCAGAGGCAAAGGGGTTCACCCCGCTTCCTAGGGCAGGCACACTGAAGGGGGAGCTCCAAAGGCACTCTGGAGTAGTGTGAGTAGCAATGATGCTCAGAACATTTTGAATAAGATGAAGCTCTAAAAACACTCTTTCAGCAACAGACATACAACACATACGTCTCCTCTATACACAGTCCCACTGTCTCGGATAGATAGACCCACAAAAATAAAAGTTCTGATTCTATAATTTAGGACAGAATATAGTGGCTAAATGCAAGTGTGAGAAATCAGACAAATGCTCCTTAATTTCCGTGACTTTCTTACTGAGTGAGCAAGACACTCAACCTCTCTGAGCCTTATTTTCTTCATCTGTAAGAATACAAGAGTATTTGCCTAATCAGCTTGTTGGGAGGATTATGCACTAATGCACACAAAAAGGATTAGCACAGTGCCTGGCCAGAACAGGCATCCAATTTCCTTATTAAATGCTGCAGGAGTGTGAGGGCCCAGGTCCAGGAGGGCTTCCTGAAGGAGGTGCAATCTGCAGGGCCCCAGCTGAGATGCATGCCTGCTGCTGGTAGCAGGAAATACCTCTGGGAGCCAGGACTACCCACAGGGATATCCTAGGTTGGGCTCCCTAGAGGTAGAGCCTGGGACATTGATTCTTGTGCAAAGGATTTATTGGGGCGGTGAGGTAAGCAGGATTAGGGCAGGGTTAGAAGCCAAGCAAAGATGTCTAGCCTCAGTCTGATCCTACAGCAAGCTCTGGGGCATAAAATGCAACAGGAGGTGTATCTCTCTCCGAAGTAAGGGAGCTGGACTTTGTACACCACATCAGTCATTCATAGGCTATGGGCCACTGGGAGGTAGGAAAAGGAGGAGCGTAATTTCCCAGGCCCATCTGGATGAAATAGTTCATGTGGACTGAGGACAATTCTCCAGAGAAGAGTAAAACTGTGAGTAATTAGCTGCCAACACAACAACTGAGAAAAGTGGAGAATGGGTGCACCATTGCTGTAAAGGGGTGTAGCCCACAGCATTTACTACAGGAAGAATAGAGAAGACATGGGGACTAGTTGAGGAAAATGGAGAGAGGATATTAAACTCTTGTGCTGGGACTTCCAAGGAGAAAACAAAGCAGCTGGTATGGTTTTTAAAAATTATGTTTTTAGGGGCACCTGGGTGGCTCAGGTCAAGAACTCTGGATCCTGGGATTAAGCCCCACATTGGGCTCCCTGCTCAGTGGGGAGTTTGCTTGAGATTCTCTCTCTCCCTCTGCCCCTCCTTCCTGCTCGCTCTCTCTCAAATACATAAATAAATAAATCTTTAAAAAAGATTTATTTATTTATTTGAGAGAGAGAGCAAGCACACAGATGGGGAAGGGGAGGGGCAGAGGGAGAGAGAGAATCTCAAGCAGACTCCACTCTGAGCAGAGAGCCCAGTGCCCAGCTCAACCTCATGACACTGAGATCATGACCTGAGCCAAAAGCAAGAGTTCAATGCTTAACCAACTGAGCCACCCAGGCACCCCGAGTGTTTTAATTTTTAAAATATCCAACTCTTGATCTCAGCTCAGATCTCCATCTCACAGTCTTGAGTTCAAGCCCTGCATTAGGCTCCATGCTGGGTTTGAAGCCTACTTTAAAAAAAAAAAAAAGGAAAAAAAAATTAAAACAAAGACTTGACAGACTAAAAAACGAGCCCTTTCTGCAGAGCTTTTAAATGTACTTCATCATTTAGTGGACCCTCTTCCCCAAATCCTGACTGTTACCATTCACAAATATCTTGTGTAGTGTTTTCAAAAGAGAGCTTCTGTAAGATGTTAACAAGGGTTGCTGCAAACGGGGTGTAGAACCACGAAACAAAGGTAGACAGGCTTATTTTCTTCTCACAACTTTAAGAAACCAATATACTGGATAAACAAAGTATAGTATATCTATGCAATGGAGTGGTATTTGGTCATATAAGAATGAAATATGGACACATGCTATAACATGGGTGAACCTTAGAAACATTATGCTAACTGAAAGATGTCAGACATGAATGACCGTATTTTGTATGTTTCCATTTATATGAAATATTTAGAATAGTGAATCCATAGGGATGGAAACATGGTGGTTGCCAGGGGCTTGGGGGAGGGAGCATGAGGCATGGTTGCTTAATGGGTACAGGATTTTCTTTTGGGATCATGAAAATGTTTTGGAACTAGATAAAAGTATTGGTTACAAAGCATTGTGAATGTACTAAATGCTCTGAATTGTTTGCTATAAAGTGGTTCATTTCTGGGTGCCTCCTCCAAAAAAAAAATTAAAATTAATAACAAAATGGCTAATTTTATGTTTTGTGATTTTCACCTCAATTTTAAAAACAGCCACAAAAGCTCAGTTGCTAATGGGGTATCACTGCTCTCAGGCCTTCTCAATGGACAAAGGTAGGGAAAAAATACCTGTATGCATGGATAACTTTACACTCCTGTATAAAGCATTTCACACACAGGTTAGAGAATCTTTTTTTTTTTTTTAAGATTTTATTTATTTATTTGACAGAGATCACAAGTAGGCAGAGAGGCAGGCAGAGAGAGGAAGGGAAGCAGGCTCCCTGCTGAGCAGAGAGCCGAATGTGGGGCTCGATCCCAGGACCTTGGGATCATGACCTGAGCTGAAGGCAGAGGCTTTAACCCCCTTAGCCACCCAGGCACCACCAGGGAATCCTTTTTATAGGAGCAACCTGCACACCTTTGAGAAGGCTGATCCAGTGCATGGAACATTGGTGGGAAATAGTTCCCCTGAAATGAGTCCCCCAGAGCACTAAGGATGGGCACAAATGGAATGATGACTTCTATTTTACTCAGCATCTTTGTTCTGCTGTTTCATATGGCTTTTGAGAAACTACTTCTCTGATCTGCACCTCAATTTATCCACCGGAACAATGGTTTCCATTGCTATAACTGAAAGGACCATTAAAAAAAACTTGGTATTTTGGGGGTGCCTGGCTAATGCAGTCAGTAGAGTGTGTGACTCTTGGTCTCAGGGTTGTGAGTTTGAGCCCCACATCAGGTGTGGAGATTAAAATAAAATCTTAAAAAAAAAAAACCACCAAAACCTTGATATTTTTAATGGTGTGCCAGAGTGCTTTGCTAGATCTCAATCTCTTAGAATGTAGGGTGAGATTTTTCAATTTCATAGTGCCCTCCATCGTGCTTTGCACATAAGGAATAGGTAATACGTATTATATATGAATGACCTTAGACAAGCCACTTAACCTCCTTAAGCTGCCTGCCAATTCAGTTCTGCCAGAGACTAAGAAATAATTTCATTAATTTAATCAATATTTCTTGAAGGTCTGTTTTGACCTACAAAAGCCAGTCCCCTGCTCTCCAATAGTTTCTTATTCATTGAGCTAATGATAACAAAAGACACCATCAGTTGAAATGTCTTCAATCTATCCATTGACTCCTTAATTTGGATCATGAATATTTATTTATTCATTTGTTTGTGAGAGAATGAGTGGGGTGAAGGGGCAAAGGAAGAGGGAAAGAGAATATCAAGCAGACTCCTTGCTGAGCATGGAGCTCAAACTGGGGCTCGATTCTAGGACCCTGAGATAATAACCTGAGCTGAAACCAAGAGTCGGATGCTTAAGCGACTGAGCCATCCAGGTGCCACAACATACAGATCAGTTTTAATCTTTGCTTACAGGGTGTCGTAACAAATAGCCATCCCTGTATGCAACTAAGAAAATGTGTAAATAGGATACTTTCTTACACATTGCTGGGTCAAATGGTGTGTGCATGTATAATTTGAAGATATTACTAAGTTACTCTTCTTAGAGGCTGTACCAGTTTCCAGTCACACTCACAGCATACACGAATCCTATTCCCCACACTCTTGCCAAGATAGTTATCGAGCTATTTGGTCTTTGCCAATCTGATAGGTGAAAAATGATATTTCAGTGCGGTTTTAACTTGCATTTATTTATTCAGCATGAAACTCAGAAAATAACGGTTGATGAGGATGTGGAAAACCGGAAACCCTCGTCACTGCTGTGGAAATGTAAAACAATACACCCATTATGGAAAATACTATGATGGTTCCTCCAAAAATTAAAAACAGAATTGTTATATGATACAGCAATTCCACTCTTGGGTAGATACCTAAAAGAACTGAATGCACAGGGGTGCCTGGGTGGCTCAGTGGGTTAAGCCTCTGCCTTCAGCTCAGGTCATGATCTCGGGGTCCTGGGATTGAGCCCCGCATAGGGCTCTCTGCTCGGCGGGGAGCCTGCTTCCCCCTCTCTCTCTGCCTGCCTCCCTGCCTACTTGTGATCTCTATCTCTCTGTCAAATAAATGAATAAAATTAAAAAAAAAAAAAGGAACTGAAAGCAGGGATTTAAAGAGAGATTTCTATACCCATATTCATAGCAGCTTTATTTGCAATTGCCAAAAGATGGAAGCAACCCAAGTGTCAAATGATAAATAAATGGATACAATGTGGAACATACACACAATAGAATATTATCCTGCCTGAAAGAGGAAGGAAGTCCTGACACATGCTACAATGTGGATGAACATTGAGGACATTATGCTAAGTGAAACAAACCAGACACAGAAGGACAAATACTGTCCTCATGCTGATATGACTTCATAGTCAAATTTATAGAGATGGAAAGTA